ACAATTTATACAATGAAAAAGAATGGGAAGAGTTACAGGGCTTCTAGAATTCAGACAAATGCCAGGCAAATTTGCTTGGCTCTACTACTTGTACTTGTGGTATAAAATTCAAAATGTTCAACTTAGATAAAAGTGTGCATTCTAGGTATTTGAAGACTATATAATAGACCCCTTCATGGTTATTGCAGCCAAGTTGAATAGGGGCAGATTTTCGTAATGGAGGTAAAAATGGTTTTAAAAATACGGGAAAACATAATTACATACACCATTTTTACAGATAAAACATTGAATAACAAAATATTGACGATTTATTACAAAACAAATCCTACTCAAAATATTGATATACTTTTTGTACTTTCATACTATTTCCGCCTCTATTCTATGCCAAGTAAACAACTGCATGTCCACCACAGAGACCAAATGACATAGAAGTTAGCAACTATAGCTCTGTCTTTAACAATGAGCAAAACCCATACCATATGATCAGCTATAAAAAGCCAGACATGACAAAATGTGAAACAATTCAAACAAGAAAACCAATGTCATTATTTATGTACAAAACAATAAACAAAAATAAAATATGACAGATAGCGACCAACAAAAGCCACTAAAATAGAGGCTCCTATTCTTTGGACAGGCACATACAGAAATTGTTAGAATGTGGTGGGGTTAAACATTGTGTATATTTGATTTATGACAGAGGTACATTGTAATAGCCGGTTGATGAGCTGCATTGCTCGTCACATATATTTTAAATTAATTATAAGAATATACAAGGATGTTCAGGCTACCTACTGTTAAGATAAGTGATCATTAAGTCTATGTATAAAAAGGTGTTGGTAGAACCACCAAAGTATTAGATAAGGACTGTTCATTAAATTCCTATATTTTTCAACCATCTGTTTAGTTATTATACATTGTACATACAATTTTCATGTATTTAAACAAATGAAATAAAAGTAATCTTTTCTTACACAGAAATGATAGATCTGGTATACATGGTATACTACAAATTCAACCATTTTTTTGTTTATCAATATAAACTAGAGGCTCTAAAGAGCCTGTGTCGCTCACCTTGGTCTATGTGAATATTAAACAAAGGATGCAGATGGATTCATGACAAAATTGTGTTTTGGTGATGGTGATGTGTTTGTACATCTTAATTTACTGAACATTTTTCCTGCTTACAATTATCTCTATCTATAATTAACTTGGCCCAGTAGTTTCAGAGGAGAAGATTTTTGTAAAAGATTACTAAGATTTACGAAAAAATGGTTAAAAATTGACTATAAAGGGCAATAACTCCTAAAGAGGTCAACTGACCATTTCGGTTATATTGACTTATTTGTAAATCTTACTTTGCTGAACATTATTGCTGTTTACAGTTTATCTCTATCTATAATAATATTCAAGATAATAACCAAAAACAGCAAAATTTCCTTAAAATTACCAATTCAGGGGCAGCAACCCAATAACGGGTCGTCCGATTCATCTGAAAATTTCAGGGCAGATAGATCTTGACCTGATAAACAATTTTACTTCATGTCAGATTTGCTTTAAATGCTTTGGTTTTTGAGTTAAAAGCCAAAAACTGAATTTTACCCCTATGTTCTATTTTTAGCCGTGGCGGCCATCTTGGTTGGTTGACCAGGTCACGCCACTTATTTTCAAAACTAGATAACCAAATGATGATTGTGGCCAAGTTTGGTTTAATTTGGCCCAGTTGTTTCAGAGGAGAAGATTTTTGTAAAAGATTACTAAGATTTACGAAAAATGGTTAAAAATTGACTATAAAGGGCAATTACTCCTAAAGGGGTCAACTGACCATTTCAGTCATGTTGACTTATTTGTTAATCTTACTTTGCTGAACATTATTGCTGTTTACAGTTTATCTCTATCTATAATAATATTCAAGATAATAACCAAAAACAGCAAAATTTCCTTAAAATTACCAATTCAGGGGCAGCAACCCAACAACAGGTTGTTCGATTCATCTGAAAATTTCAGGGCAGATAGATCTTGACCTGATAAACAATTTTATTTCATGTCAGATTTGCTCTAAATGCTTTGGTTTTTGAGTTATAAGCCAAAAACTGCATTTTACCCCTATGTTTTATTTTTAGCTGTGGCGGCCATCTTGGTTGGTTGGCCGGGTCACGCCACACATTTTTTAAACTAGATACCCCAATGATGATTGTGGCCAAGTTTGGTTTAATTTGGCCCAGTTGTTTCAGAGGAGAAGATTTTTGTAAAAGATTACTAAGATTTACGAAAAATGGTTAAAAATTGACTATAAAGGGCAATTACTCCTAAAGGGGTCAACTGACCATTTCGGTTATATTGACTTATTTGTAAATCTTACTTTGCTGAACATTATTGCTGTTTACAGTTTATCTCTATCTATAATAATATTCAAGATAATAACCAAAAACAGCAAAATTTCCTTAAAATTACCAATTCAGGGGCAGCAACCCAATAACGGGTTTTCCGATTCATCTGAAAATTTCAGGGCAGATAGATCTTGACCTGATGAACAATTTTACCCCATGTCAGATTTGCTCTTAATGCTTTGGTTTTTGAGTTATAAGCTAAAAACTGCATTTTACCCCTATGTTCTATTTTTAGCCGTGGCGGCCATCTTGGTTGGTTGACCGGGTCACGCCACACATTTTTAAAACTAGATACCCCAATGATGATTGTGGCCAAGTTTGGTTAAAGTTGGCCCAGTAGTTTCAGAGGAGAAGATTTTTGTAAAAGTTTACGGACGACGGACGACGGACGCAAAGTGATGAGAAAAGCTCACTTGACCTTTCAGGTCAGGTGAGCTAATAAAAGGAGATGTAATTTCAACATCAATAAGACAGCAACCCAACAATACAATCAATAAAAATATTGACATCAAGTTTGTCAAGTTTAGCTCAGTTTTGTTTTCTATTATTAACTTTTGATGACAGAATCAAATAATCAACATTACCAAGATAAATTACAAAGAGCTTGTTCTTTTTTTGCGTTGCAAAATGATTTTGATTGATTATGCTAAGAAAAAATACCATGAATGAGAAGGCAGAGAGATTTATGGAAACTTGAGATTTCTTTATATTGATTTCAAACAAGAACATGTTAACAACCATAAAATTTATTTTCATTTGTCAATATTTCTCCAAAAGGAGATGGTATGCAATGGCCAATTTTCATGGTTCTTTGAATGGAAAATAAAAAAGTAGGATAAATTTATGAAGTAGCATATACATCTTTCATAATTATGTTCACAAGAAAATTTCTTTCAAAATCAGTATTTACAATGTATTATTTTTTAAGTCTTATTTTCTTTACAGTTTCAAACTTCTTGCATTTAATGCAAATCTGTAATAAAATCCCATAACTTGGAAATTTTCAATCTGAATATTTTAAAATTAAAGGGATCCTACATCAATAGATATAAACAATTCACCAAAGTTTCATGAAAATTGGTGAAAGCTTTTTTGAGATATTGTCCGAATTGTTGACAACTAACGGACAGACAATGGTATACCACAATACATCCCGTAAATGGGCATAAAAAATGTTTTTTTTTAGTTTGTGCAACAAAATAAAGATTTATTTGATCCAAGATGTTAATGGGGGTTTAAATGTCTTTTATGGTAAAGACTTGGTTTGTATATGTACATGTATCTAATATGACCAAAAACCACGGGAAAAAATACCGTTTTAAATCAAATGTGTCATTTTCAACATATTTATCAAGTCATGTAAATTAAATTGTGTCATAGCAGTTAAAACACTGCAGTAACTAATAATGTATAAATGAACCTGCTTTTACATTTACTACATGTATTCCTTAATGAATTTCACTTTAGCATATTGTAAAACTAAGAGACCACTCACAATCTTGATTCCAATTAAAAAAAACAACAACATGTAAATGTGCCCCTCTGTCCTTAAATCCCAGAACACTCCACACTATTTGATTAAAATTACAGTGAAAAATTCAACTCAAAGATACATTGGAATTATAAATTTACTTACATTATTATTATAATCCATTTATAAGTCTCTTGTTATTTTATAGACATGCTTATTGATGAATCCAGAATCTACATTAATTTCCATATTTCATTTACTACATGTATATACATTTTATAATATATAGGTATTTATTAAAACTTTAATCATCTAGAAGAAAACTCTTAGTATAACAAAAGCTCAAATAAAACTTCAATGGTAGATTGAAAGTAATAAAGGTAATAGGTTTATAAAGAATTGGCAAATATTATTAATGCAATTGTTTAAATGAAAACAATAATTCAAACCTCAGATAAATACCTAATATGTATATACATGTATCACATATGTGTAAAGTACATGTATGTAGGTCAGCAAATCCAATCGCAAAGCATGTAGCTTTCATGTTTTATTTTAAAATTGCTAAATACTTTTCAAATTTCAAACTATTTTATTAACTATTAGACTAATTAGGAAGAAAATCACATCATGCAATTTACAGTACAATGTACATGTATACATGTGATTTCAAACAAGCATAGGCTTGAATGATTATTGAATGATTTAAAGATTTTCAAGTCAGGATTTATAATATATGTGTCTGACATAACCATCTAATGCTTTCATATATATTAAATGTTATAATTTTATAATGTTGTGAAATTTAGTTATTTCATTTGACAACAATGCAAAATGATATATTATTGGAAAGAGTATTTAAAACCAAAACAGAACCGAAGCACAATATTAATAAAGTGCAAGTGTACTGGAATGTGCAAAATAAAATAAAATAAAAACTGCTACTGAAAAAGATACTTGTCTGTCACCATCAAAAAGTTGGTTACAACAATAACCAAGGTAACGGCGTCGTTTACCTGGATACAAAAACTTACTTTCCGGTAAATAACACGACAGGTGCGTGTGCCTTAATAACATGAGTATGAATGTAAAACGTTGTTATTTGCTTGTTAAGGGAATCAGTGTAATTAATTTCTCACCTGTCATGTGTTAAAATGAACATGAAAAGTCGCATTTTCGGGGCATAATTGACTTGTAAACAACACACATTTAACGTCCTTTCTTTTGTTCCGGTTGAACCGGAATGTTATTTAAATTGCGGAATAGTTAACGAAACGAACTCTACATAACGTTCAATCGTATAACGCATTTTCGTACTCTTTTGAATTTTATAGCAATACACGATTGAAAAAATTCGGGGATAATTCATGTTATTTTTTCACAGTTTTTTACTCAATTATTGCTAGGAATTCACGTAACTGTGAATTTTATAAATACATAAAATCTGGAACTTTTTGTTAGTATACAAAATTAAGTGTAAGCTCGGCGTAGTCGAAAATTTAAAATTTATCTAGATATCTATGTAGCAACAGAATGGTATGCAGCGCAGGGGTTCAATTGGATGTAAAACATGTATACGGAACATATAGATGAACGACTGTTCAGTCTTGGTCTACTTAGGCGTACAAGAGATAAATTTTTATTTCCAATAAAGGATCCATTATGGGCATAATCAGTACAGTGATTTTTTTATATATAGATAATACACAAGAAAAACAACTCAAAAATGAAATATAAATTGAGTTAATAGTATATATAGCCATATAAACCATAATGTTTATGATTTTTATTATTGTAAGGTCATATAGTGACTTATATGACCCACTGACACCAGATGCAACTGGAGTAAGACAGTCAATTGAATATTGGGGACAGATATAATATGCATTTGATAGAAAATAGTTAATTTGCCTTGACTATGCCGCTCTGCTAAGATTTGACAGATTCTTTCGAATGCTTTCAAAATAGAAAATTTTCAGTTTGTCCTGTTCCCGTGTTTTTGCGTCTTCTAGTTGTACTTTTTTCTACTTTTTCATTTTCAAAATACCTATCCCAAATTTTACATCAATATTCCAAATGGAGTCTTATAAAAGTTTTATATATTTGAAAAGCCTTTTGGGTTTCCTCAGTTTATATACATATGTTAATGCAGACTTTGTAATATAATTTAATAAAGATATGCATGAGCAAGGATTTGTAATATAGTATACAAATCCTTGATATGAGTAGTTCAGTTTACATCTGATAGCTATTGCCGATGATTACCAACACTTTCATTGTTTTCACCATTATATTCAATATTCATTCCTGGTGGTGTTACAGTTGGGATAACCATGGAAGTAACATAGTCAATCATTGGATAAACAATGGTTGGTTGTCTCGGTTTGCCCGGCTTTGGAAAAAACTAAATAGTTAGATACCAACAAATCAAATAAAACTGATGCTGTTAAAATTGACGATTTTTATGAACATTTTAAACGTCTATAGCCAAGATGAAGTGATTGAAGACAACTCAGACACAGATTTAACAAAGGTACCACTAGAGAACATTAACAGAATTTTAAATTCTCCAATCACAGAAGAAGAAATTTTGAATGTCGTCAAAAAACTTAAAAACAATAAGGCTTCCGGATATGATGGTATTGTGAATGAACATATTAAACATGCGGTTAAGGAAATGTTGCCCAGCTATCACAAGTTATTCAACATTGTTCTAAATACTGGGAAGGTCCCAGATTCATGGACACTGGGAATTATTCAACCTATCTTCAAGAATAAAGGCAATATATATGATCCTAGATCGTACAGACCAATAACTTTAGTGTCATGTCTAGGGAAAACTTTCACATCGATCTTTAATGAAAGACTTGGGGAACTTTCAATTGAGATCAATCTGATTTCCGAGGCTCAAACAGGATTCAGAAAAGGTTATAGTACATTGGATAACATATTTGTATTACATTCATTAATATCAATTTATCAAGCTCTTGGAAAAAACTCTTTTGTACTTTTGTTGATTTTTCGAGAGCCTTTGACACAATCTGTCATATTTCTTTATGGATAAAATTACAAAAGGCGAATATTTCCGGGAAAATTTTTAAGGTAATATATAGCATGTATAGTAATGTTAAATCGTGCGTTAGGAATGGTAACGAAGTGTCAGCCGTTTTTATATGTAACATTGGAGTGAGACAGGGAGAAAATTTATCCCCCTTTTTATTTGCTGTTTATCTAAACGATCTTGAGTCTTTCTTTGCTGAAAATGATGTTCAGAACTTGCAAGTTATGGAAAATATTTGCCGCAATTATTTGCATATCTATATAAAACTTTTCGTTCTTTTGTACGCCGACGACACTATAATTATATCTGAAACGGCCGAATCAATGAAACAAGCCTTAAACGTTTTTGAAAGATACTGTGTCCGATGGAAGTTAAACGTTAATTTATCGAAGACAAAGGTTGTTGTGTTCTGCAAACGGAAATTACGAACATTACCAAAGTTTCAAATATTTAACCAGTCTATTGGAATTCAAGATTTTTATCCATATTTAGGACTTACTTTTAACTACAATGGTTCATTTGAAACAGCGAAGAAACGTCTTAGCGAACAAGCACAGAAAGCACCTTTTAGTCTTTATGCAAAGATACGTAACCTCTCAATACCTGTCGACTTACAATTACAACTGTTTGATGTACTTATACTTCCAATTCTGACATATGGGTGTGAAATATGGGGATTCGGAAACAATTACATGCTGGAAAAAATCCAACTACAGTTTTGCCGGAATGTGTTGAAAATTAGATCCCCGACACCAAATTTTATGACATATGGAGAACTTGGTCGTACACCAATAGATACCGTAATAAAATGTAGAATGGTGTGTTTTTGGAACAAACTTCTCGCCAATGAAAATAAACTAAGCAGTATACTTTATCAAATTATGTTCAACTTAAAAGACGATCACATGTTTAAATGGATTGACTATATTAATTCGATTTTAGACAATTCCGGACTTAGCTATGTTTGGACTCAGCAATTACCATTAGATGTAAATCAACTAAAAATCGTTCTGAAAGAAAAACTTAAAGATGCAATCATTCAAAATTGTCATAGTCAAATTGACAACTCATCCAGAGGAGAATTTTATGGTCTTTTTAAAACAATGTTTGGCTTAGAAAACTATCTTGTACAATTATCACCAATCGAACGTGAATATATTTCAAAATTAAGATGCTGTAATGTAAAAATTCCAGTAGAGCTGGGTAGATGGTACAATATTCCAAAAGACGAGAGGACATGTAATTTGTGTTTAAATGCTATTGGTAATGAATACCATTATTTATTTGAATGCAATTCTGTATTAGTAAAAAGTTAACCCGAATAATTCAGTCGTTATATTCCACTGCTCTACGATGGCTACATTAACCTCGCGAGTGGGAGAGTCGATCACGGGGAGGGACTGAATTATTCGGGTTAGTAAAAATTATCAGAAATCAGCACATTCCAGAATATTATGTTAAATATCCCAGTGCAGCAAAATTGAAAGGACTACTATCATTGGTTAATATTAATGTACTTAAGAATATATCTTTATTCGTTTCAAAGTTAACGAAAATATTATAAAGTAAAGTAAGTATTAATATATTTCATTTCTAAGTTGGTCTATTTATTTCTATGATTGTATGTGATTGTATTTTGTATATATTTACCTCTTGTTTCACATGTCAATGTGACGGAGTGTTTTTAAATAAAGCATATTGTATTGTATTGTATTGTTAAAACCTGCAAGCACTATTTAGACCATTCATTATATGTAGATTTTAGTAGACTGCTGTTAGTCTTCTCGTCGTTTTCTGTCATGATTTTGTCGATCCCTCTATGACCGTTATGAGTTTTGGTTTTCTCTTTGGTATATTCTGCCTCTTTCTTAGCCTGCTTAAATGACGATGGGTGGATATGACTTGTGAGATACAACCCTATATATATTTTAGTCAATTCATCTGGACATGTGAAATAAGAAAGAAAACATGTGTATATATGTCTCTGTTTAGGGGTAGGGTTCTCAAATACTATACCAGCGTTTAATATCATTTTTTACAAGTTATTCAAATATTTCATCTGCGGTGCCAGTCTATTGTAGGTGTGCCATTTATCCGAAAACGTTACAAAAATGGAAACAAAAGCATCAGACAATTTTGTAATAGATTCTTTTAATTTTGCAAAACACAGAAATGGGAATGTTCTTTACGACAGAGCACAACTTTTATTCCGTTATAAATTTGATGTCATGGTTCTACACTAGCCTGTCATAACATTTTGAGCTCATCTGGCCCAAAGGGCCAAGTGAGTTTTTCTCTTCACTTGGCGTCCGTCGTCCGTCGTCGTCATCCGTTAACTTTTACAAAAACCTTCTCCTCTGAAACTATTTGACCAAATTTACCCAAACTTAGCCACAATCATCATTGGGGTATCTAGTTTAAAAAAATGTGTCCGATAACCCCGCCTGCCACCAAGATAGCGGACATGCTAAAAATAGAACATAGGGGTAAAATGCAAGTTGTGCCTATCATTTTGAAAACCGCTATAAATAAAGAAAATTTGACAGGGGAAAAAAATGTTCAGCATGTTGAGCTCTACCAATAGTCTTTTTACGTCAAAACTGTCAGGGGACTTCTTAAAGGAGATATTGCCCTTAAATGACAAGTTTTACCATTTATTTTTTTCATTTTTGCCTAGTATCTTGAAATCTATAATATTTACAGAGAAACTTTAAATCAGCAAGACAAGATCTACAAATCGTAATCGGCAGTCGATTCCTTATTAGAGTTATTGCCCTTTGATGACGATTTTTACTAATTTTTGGTGTTTTTGCCTTAATCTTAAAAATTATAATATACAGATAGAAACTTAAACAAGCAAAAATGATCAGCAAGACAAGATCTACAATTAAGACTAAATGGAGGAAATCGTCCGACGACTCCTTATTGGAGTTATTGCTCTTTAATGATGATTTTTTACATTTTATTTTGCGTTTTGCCTTATATGATAAAAAATTATAATAGATTTTCTATGTTTAGAAGCATGCCGAAAAATGTAACGACAACGCACAACTTTTCTGCATTAAATGGTTGCCACGATACTATACTAGCGCGTTGTAACTATTTTGTAGAAGTCGCTCAAATATTTCAATAGTTGTATCAATCTATTGCATCCAAAAACGTTATATCGTA